GCCAAGCAGAATACTAGCAGGAGGCAGAGGGACATTCTGAAGTGTCGGGCAGACAAGAATGCCCTCAGAAAACAGTTCAAAGCCGCTACGGGCAGCGAACGGGAGGGGCTGTACGAAGTGTGGGTGCATTTAAAGAACAAACACAGTGCCCTCTGTCGCGCCGAGCGTTTCTGTAACAACAGACGAAGAACTAAAAGGGAGCGAGAGAAATTCTTTAGGGACCCTTATCAGTTTGCCCGAGGTCTATTCGAGCAACCGAAGTCTGGGACTCTGGTTGTCAGTCAGAAAGAACTTGAGCTACATCTAAGCAAGATGTACTCTGATAAGAAGAGGAGAGAGCCTCTTGATGACAATCCAGAGATCCTTAGCGGACTCAAACAGCCTTCGGTGCCGAAGGTACCATTTAAACTGGTACCTCCCCTTTGGTCTGAGGTTGAGGACGTTGTGAAAAAAGCCAGCGGCAAGTCTGCCCCAGGTCCGAACGGTGTTCCGTACGTTCTTTACAAGCGTTGCCCGAAAATCCTAAAAATGCTTCACGTCTTGTTGAGACAAGCGTGGATCCGCAATCACATATGTCCAGAGTGGTCAAAGGCAAATGGGGTCTACATTCCCAAAGAGCAGGACTCGAAGAGTCTTTCCCAATTCAGGCCCATCTCGCTGTTGAATGTTGAGGGTAAGATATTCTTCTCAGTCATGGCTCGCCGGCTCACACAGTATCTGATGACTAACAAGTACATAGATACGAGTGTTCAGAAGGGTGGCATTCCAGGCGTTCCTGGGTGCCTTGAACACGCGACCATGATCTGGGAGGCTATCCAGAGAGCCAAGCATGAGAGAACCAATTTGCACGTTATATGGTTGGACTTAGCCAACGCCTACGGGGCAGTCCCCCATAGGCTACTGTGGCGAGCCCTTCGCATGTTTCACGTACCGACACAGATCAGTCAAATGGTCGAGCAATATTTCTCTAAGTTCGCTTTGCGCTTCTCTACCTCGACGTTTACCACGAGGTGGACTGAGTTGCAGATTGGGATAGCTATGGGGTGTACGATCTCACCTATACTGTTTGTCATGGCAATGCAGATCATGTTGGACGGGGCGGCCGGCTACGGACTGGGCCTTCAAATAGGGGATCACTGGTTGCCGCCACTGCGCGCATTTATGGATGACACGACTATTATAACGGGCAGCGAGGAGTCTGCCCGCACGATCCTGAATAGATTGGACGCGGTGGTCCAATGGAGCGGTATGCAGTTCAAACCGCAGAAGTCGAGGAGTCTGTCAATCCATAAGGGCAAAGTGTCGGCGATCAGTTTTACGGTGGCAAGGAACAAGATCCCTACGGTTCTGGAGGAACCGGTGAAGAGTCTCGGTCGCGTTTACGATTCGAAGTTATCTGACAGAGCGGAAGTCCGGCGAATACATGAGTCACTGGCTACAGGCCTGCTCGCGATCGAGCGATGCAGGCTGGTCGGAAAATTCAAGGTATGGTGTCTCCAATTCATGTTGATTCCGAAGCTTCTATGGCCACTGCTAGTCTACGAGGTGACGATGACTGCAGTTGAAGCCATGGAAAAGAAAATCAACACAGCCTTAAGAAAGTGGATTGGTGCACCGCCTTGTCTGACCGACGTGGCTCTGTATTGTAAACAGGCTAAGCTGGTACTTCCGTTCAAGTCAATAACCGAAGAGTTTAAAGTCGGCAAAGTTAGGCTCGCCATGCTTTTGCGCGAGTCCTCAGACCCAAATGTCATCGCTGTCCAGCCCGCTCTAAAGACTGGCCAGAAGTGGAGAGTCCTCGATGCGATTGAATCTGCTCAGAACGCACTAAAATTGAAGGAGGTGATGGGTTACACACAAACCGACCGTCGAGGCCTAGGGCACGGGAAAGTCAATTGGTGGTCAAAGGCCTCAGCCAAAGAGCGCCGAGACATGGTGATACAAACGGTGAGGGACAACGAAAACGAGGTTCGGGTCCAGAAAGCAGCCCAACAGTCGCAGCAGGGCCATTGGGTCAGCCTGGAGAGCGCATTGCCCAGAATACTCACATGGGGTGAGATCTGGCGGATGACCCCGCTGCGACTGAGCTTTATCGTTCGTTCGGCGTACGATGTATTACCGTCCGGTGTCAACATGGTTAAATGGTCTGCGACCAACGATCCGACTTGCCCGTTGTGCAAATCAAAACAAACTCTTGAGCACGTCCTGTCCGCGTGCAGGAAAGCCCTAGGTCAAGGCCGATATACCTGGCGCCACAACAAGGTGCTAAAGGAGTTAGCAGCCGTTGTCGACCAGGCTAGAATGAGGGCTAACGCCAGAGCCAGTTCTAGTATCGCCCCCATTCGTTTCCTCAAGGCTGGGCAGGTTTCGATTGGTAAGGTCAACAAAAACGCATTCGCTCCATCTGTGCTAGACTCTGCGAGGGACTGGGTACTGGCGGTTGATCTGCCAGGACATGAACGGTATCCCGAGTTGATCCGTAAAACCGGCCTGCGACCGGACATCGTTCTCCATTCAGCGCAAAAACGGCAACTCATCCTGATTGAGTTGACGGTCCCGTTTGAGTCGCGTATGGAGGAGAATCACTTGTACAAGCTCGAAAAGTACAGTGATTTAGCAGCCGGTTTGAGGAGAAACGAGGCTTACACAGTGCGGGTATTTGCCGTCGAAGTGGGAGCGAGAGGCCTCGTTTCCACTTCGCTCTACAATGTGGTGAAAGAATTAGGATTGCGCGGTAATGAACGGAAACGGGCACTCAAAAAACTTGGTGAGGTGGCCGAAAGGGCATCCAGCTGGCTTTGGACGCAGCGCAACAACGTAGGGGACGGGCCTCGGTGAGCTGGTCCGGGTGTCTAGTGGAAAAGAGTTTCTCATCCCTTCGAAAGTCCATCGTGTACGAATTGTCTGCCAGTGTTCCTCTGCCAACTGCTAATAAAAGTCCAACATGTGTCGTGTCCGGTAAACCAAAGTAAGCTTGTCGCTCGGTCGTCCAGGCATGCGGACTGTTCTAATTACGCAGCCGTGGCGGCTTCTTATCTCACAGTACCTCCTTCGAAACCACCAAGTCGTCTTGTCTCTGGCCGAAAGTATAACACCATCCGGTAATTCTGTGCGGCGGGGAAGCAGCCCTGAGCTTCATGAACTCAGGTGGGCCCACCTCCGAATACGTTTAGGAATCGTGGGCCGAAACGTGTGTCGAAAGAGGATAATTTCTACTGATGACTGTAGATCCCCGCTGTACTTGCTCCCTGTGAGTTTATTCTTACTGGCTATAGACTGGATTATAAATACAGTAACTGCTAGCACCAAGAATAGAATTCAGTGGACCCTACAAAACAGCTTGATGATCTGGACTTTGCTGATGATATTCCTCTTCTGTCCCATTCACGGAATCAGATGCAAGATAAATTAAATATATCTGAAGCGAGATCACAGCAGCTTGGTCTGAAAATTAATAAAGGAAAGACAAAAATAATGAGAATAAATCAGGCAAATAGTAATGTGGTTTCTCTTGATGTCACCCCACTCCAAGACGTGGAGTCGAACACTTATTTGGGCAGTAATGTAGATAAAGATGGAGGAACTGACAGAGATATTCAAAAAGGAATACAAAAGGCAAGATTAGCTTTTATAGCACTAGGAAATTTGTGGAGGTCAAAAGAAATTAAAAGAAATACTAAACATGTTTAATTATAATGTCAAATCAGTACTTTTTCATGGGGCGGAAACATGGAGAACAACTATGGCAACTACTAATTACAGACACTAATTAACTGGTGCCTGCGCAGAATAGGGGGAATTAAAATGTATGATAGAATAACTAATGCAGAGCTGTGGGAGAGAACTAAACAGGCCCCAGTGGACCAAGAGGTGAGGAAAAGACGCTGGCGTTGGATAGGATACACACTGAGAAAACAGGAAAACAGCATAACTAGAATGTCTTTGCATTAGGGCATAGGAATAAAGAAAGGCCAAAAAACACACGGAGAAGAAAGATGGAGAATGAAGTAAGAAAGATGGGTAGGACTTGGTGAGAGCTCCATGTGATGGCTAAGGATAGAACGACTTGGCGTGAGTTGGTTGAGGGCCTATGATACATTGGGGGATAGAAAGGCAGAAGAAGAAGAAGAAGACTGTCCCATTCCACACACATAGTACAAACAAACGACAGTTCATATACACACCAATGCACATTCAGTTATACACATACCCACACTTCTATGAGATAACAAAGTACAAGACATTTTAATCACAAGGCAGTTTATTTGAAGTCGCTTTTAATTTAATATTCATGGGTTTCTATTGAGATAAGTTCAACCAGACTGAGATATAAAAAAAACATCTTAGTATAATAATTTGTTGAATACCATGGGCCAAGAAGAATAAAGACGCAGACATCCTGCATGATCTGAGGAGCATCGGGGAGAATTTGCTTATAAACAGCCTCCTTTTCGAAAAGCTGGGTGTATTTTGGCCATAGTAAACGTCATCGTTACCTGGAGAAAGCAGTGATGAAATGTATAGTTCCCAAAAACGACGTAGAGGCAGACCTTCGTGAGAGTAAATTAAAGATGTGTTCTCTATACAAGTACAAAGGCATGAAGAATTAGCTGGAGAAAGACCGACTTTCAGACCAGCCTTTAACGAGATCAATGTTCTGCAAAGGATGTGCTCACTGACAATAATAATGTTAAAACCACTACAGGCTCCAGCTGACGGGCCGTCCTTCTGATGTCATCTGGTCAGGCTAACGATGATTATTCTTTAATAATTTCACAATTTTAGCCTACTTGTCTTAATAATTGCCGCGGCACTCCTGGCATATGCTCGCGGCACAACAGGGTGCCTCAGAACCCAGTTCAAGAACCGCTGCGTTAACGAATCGTTAGCCTGACGCAGCACGTCAGCAGCACGGCCCGTCAGCTGGAGCCGGTCGTGGTTAAACCAGCGAAACGATTATATAAACGATAGTTAATTCGGTGTAGGGACAAACTATAAATTTAAAACGGATTTCTACGAATAGGCATGAAGGCCTGGATCCCTTTGCTGTTTGCTTTGATGGTACTGACAATCCATGCTCGAAATCTGGAAACGTTAATCAACACTGTGGCTTCCTTAGTGTCACGACAACCGTTTCCAAAAGAAATAATGCCGTATAAGACGACACCATCTGCAATATAATAAATACGAACATACATTTGACTAGGAAATATCACAAGTGTAGATGACATACTTATAGCAGTGGTAACTTCATTTTCTAAGCCGATCCTCTTCTACTCTGAGGACAGGGGTTTGCCAAAGATATGGATACGCTGTTCAGCTTTGGCAGTCTTTTATTTCAGTCCTCAGTCAGAGACGGTCGAGTGTTGTCTTCCCAGCGGACCCCGGATTGTCCTGTGGGTTTTGGTTCTTAGCCTCCTATGTCTGTCATTCTATATTTCTGCATAAATGTCTAAAGTATCGTCGCTTTTACTCAAGACTTGCGTTAGAAGGAGAACGGAGCACTTATGGGTACTTCTCGTGTCACATGATGTTGATCGGTTGTTCAAACTTAAAAAGGCATGTGTGTTTTACGGTAAAGATATCTGATAAAACCTTCGGGTGCGATTTTACTCATAATCTCATAATCTCTGATCCGGCCCAGTTATGTATCCGTGTTGCTCTTCTATCCTTGCAATTAAACGCATGTCTGTGGTTAGCCACAGCTTTCTCTTCAGTATCAGATATGTTGGCTTTGTTGTGTTGTATCTGTGTTTAGAATACATCTTTTTTGTGCAGTCTTTACGTTGCTTTTCTTGGTTTGTCTGTGACGCTATCATCTTCTTATAACGTTTGCTGTGTTGCACTGGTCGTTACATGTACACTCCCCCCCCCCCCCCCCGCTTCGTATTTTTCAGCTTCGCATTGCTACTCAAGTACTACCTAATGCCATGACGTTAAAACGTTTTACTCTGCCTGCCCCTCCCCCTCCCCCACCCACACATTATTGCTATTATAGATAAGCTGTTGACTTTGTGAAGCGGTTGGCAGAAATACTATATCTTTGGGCTCCCAGGCAGGAGACCAGGGCTCGAGCCCTCACTAATGTTATAGTGGCTTCTTCCTTTAGTCGGGGGCAAACATAAAATCCTAAGTCCAGGTCGATACTACATCAGAATGGATAAAAACAGACTATCCACCCCCCCCCCCCTTCTCATTCACCAAGCCATAATGTGGACAACAGAATGAACAGAAACGAGGAAGAAGACCAAGAGAGACACTGTGTAGAACCATCATCAGGAGAGACTTAACCATGGGCCTAATGTACATCGACGACCTATCCAGTGGCAACCAACCGCCAGTCATGGAGACCAGTGACCTCTGCCCTATGCGCCGTCCTAGGCTCAAGGGGACATACTAACTAACTAACAATCCATGGCGACATCTATAGCCATGCGGCAATAAATCCCCAGGATCAAAGATATCTTTAAGTCCGTCAGAAACCTGGTAAATACAGACAGTAAGGGGATTATTATTTTTGCATCCTTCACTTTCTCTATTCACAAGATCTTCAAACTCTCATTTTAAATCACCAAGAATACGAATTGCATGTTCGCAGTGTTCACTATTGTATGTGGCAGCATTGCGTGTTGCACCATTTGACCACGCAATCAAGCCTTTTCAGATCAACGCGTGCATCATCTTCACAATCTGTTACTATAGTCGTATCGTTCATAAATGCTCTCAACGGTGGCATCGAGCGATCTCCAATTTCAAGGCCCTGCCTTTAGCAAATAGCAGCGTCTAATATAACCGCATAGCCATGACCGGAGAAATCGTACACACCATTGCTATCCCAGACTGGAGGTCAGTCCACCTCGTAGTAAACGTGTGGGTAGAAAAGCGTACGTCGAATTTGGAAAAATACTGATTGATCATAGCAATGATCTATGCCGGTACGTGAAACACAATAACGGCCCGCCATGATAGATTGTTGGGCACCGGCACATAGGCGTTGGCAAGCTCGAATCAAATCACGTGCAGCTCTTTCTTCTCTGCCTTACTGAATACTCTCCGAAATGATTGACCCCTGTTGAAGACATTCAAGGACCTCCGGAATGCTACCTTTCTGCACTAACTTTGTCTATGTACGCCTTCTTCATTAAGTACTACGTGAGTTGCGTGCCAACGACGAGAAGAATAGTTTGCTCCTAACGATCAACACGTCTAAATTGGGACATTTCTTTATGAATGTAGACTCCGTTAGCTTTCTGCCTTTCAATGATTAACTTCTTTCGGCTGGATGCGAGCCTTAGCAAGCTTTGACACTTTCAGACAACCTTTATACCACACACGGAACATCATTGGATCCTAAGGCACATTTGCTACAGGCTTGTTTCACAACGTCTTTGAGATCGAGAGAGACATTGTTTTAATTTCTGCCTTTGGCAACTCCGGTCACTTCAGGCAACTGAGACACCCCTGAATGTTATTGAGAGGTCGTTCATTGTCCCGTCGGAGTACATGTTGAGTAGATGCAACTCAAGTCCCCCGTTATCGACGAAAAGAGTCCCAGAATACGATTGCTCGAACATACATAGTTTTTACTGGAACGGGTCAATAAACACATCTTATTTCCTCTTCGTTCTTCTTTTTTTTTCGTACAGAACCGCTCAGCGTGAAAGGTCCAACGTTTGCTGTCTGCAGCGGCTTTTAATCATTTTCATAGTGCATTTTTGTCTGCCGTGCACCTATCAATCTCTCTCTTGCCTCCTGCTTTTATCATGCATAGCTCCCCGCTTCATCTTCTCTACTGTACTGAACTCACAGGCACAGTAGCGTGCAATATGTAGCCGTACTGTGTTAGTTCGACTTCTATCGACGATTTCCTAAATTCACCATCAATAACCTCACATAAAGTACCTTCCAGCTTGCACCGCGACAGCCTGTCTGATGCTGATGGAAACGTTATCTTCTTCAAAGAGAAGCAGATGTGCGCCTCTGTGATGGACGTCTTGGCCTCTCTAGGGGATGTAAAATCTGCCTGTCGTTTTCTAAAGAATTAGCCACCACCAATGCAGCTTTACGCTGGCGACCACTCAATAGCGCACCGTTGCATCTTATTTTTCCGGTACGCAATCTCAAACCCTGCTTTCCTGTGAAAAGTCTACAATAAGTACATAACCAGCCTAGTCAATGGACACCCCCCCCCCCCCGCCCAGATCCCACTTATTCTGGTGTAAACAGCCAAAATGGCAGCACGCTTTCGTTTCGTCTGTTAATGCAAGGAGCGAAGGTTTGCAATTTTTCTCTAGCGGGCAATGTAACATTTTCATCGGAATGAGATCTGAACAGTGCAATGGAGTACATGCAGACTCTCCTCAAGATCTTTTTAGAAGTGTAGTAGGTAAGTGTACTAGGTAAGTGTACTATGTAAGTGTACTAGGTTAGTGTACCAGATACGTGTACTAGGTAAGTGTACTAGGTAAGTGTACTAGGTAAGTGTACTAGGTTAGTGTAGTAGATAAGTGTACTAGCCCTTTCGCTGCTATGGACGAGATAACTCGTCTGCCCGGCAGACTGCTAAAGACGAGATAACTCGGCTGCCATTTTCTGTGCCCTCACTGCTAAGGACGAGATAACTCGTCCTCGACATTTTTTTTTACAAATTGCTAAGAACAGTAATTCTTAGGGGTGAAATAGCATTACACATTACCTTAATCTGATCAAACTGACCCGTTTAAATACACTTAAAACCCCTATGACGTGAGTTTAGGCGTATTTAGATGCATTTCACGTTATCCTGTTGCTTTGTTACCATAGAAGCATTGTCGGTAAACGGTAATATTTTTGCCCTGAAATATATTTCTGGTTTTGCGTTAGTCTAAATTTTTTTTTAAACAAAAAATAACAAAAACAGGTGTTTAAATAAAGAAGAATTAATGGAGTTTCTTTCAAGGAGTAGTAGTAAGGATCACTTTGAAACGTGTGAGTTATATGAGCTGGGTTATCTACGCGGCACGCCGGCGGACAAGTGTACTTGTGGCTATAAACAAGACTGACCAGTGATCATATGACCTAGCTATCTACATCGACTGGATTTGAAACGGATCCAAAATAATCAAAATAAAGATATGGTCACGAACTGACATGATGATTAATATTAATAATATACTATACAACTGACATAAATGTGTTTGTCTATTAAAGTGTACAATACTGGTCTTTTTATGAGCACCTATTTTCATGTGAATTTCTAGTGTAGTTGGTATCACGTCTGCCTTACAATCGAAAGATCTAGCGTTCAACCCATACGTGCCGTTTTTTTTTTTTTTTTTTTTTAATAATTATTTTAAATGCAAATTTTAACTTTGAGCTCTTAGCATTTTCGGCAACAGATCACCGAAGTAATAATTAATTAAACATCCTGTCACGTGCGTTCAGGTGGATTTAGATGCTTTACACGTTATCCTGTTCCTTTGTGAAGCGTGGTTGGTTTACTGTGCACATGCATTTTATAAAGGGGGGGGGGTTGTTTGGGGAAAAAAGGGGGGGGGGGGGGGGGCGGGGGGAGGGGGTGGGGGGGGGCGGGGTTGGGGGGGGGTCCGGGCGGCGGGTTGGGGGGGTGGGGGGGGGGGGGGGGGGGTGGTGGGGGGGGGGGGGGTGGGGGGGGGGGGGGTGGGGGGGGGGGGGGGGGGGGGGGGGGGGGGGGTGGGGGGGGGGGGGGGGTGGGGGGGGGGGGGGGTTGTTGGGGGGGGGGGGGGGGGGGGGGGGGGGGGGGGGGTTGCCGACATTGTTGCCGACTTAATGTTAGTAAGAGAAATTCTACAGAAATATTGCAAGGTAAAGAGAAAAACTGTAGGAGGACAAAAAAGTGAAGATCTGCCACTTCGTTTAGTACAAAGGCATTTCCCTTCAATAATAGAGTCCGTAACATCGCAGAAAAAATTCACAACAAGAAAGTGTGTGGTATGCGCAAAAAGCAAAAAACAAGATACATGTGCCAGGAATGTGATTTGGCATTGTGTGTCGCACCTTGTTGTGAAATATTTCACACAAAAAGATATTATTAATATTAAATAAAAACCATGTATTTGCTTACTAAAGTGTTTTGTGTTTGCTTTGTAAGTTTGAAGTGTTTTCTTTTTGTTAATGAGTTTTCATGGCGTAGTAATAGCGCGTCTGACTTGTCAGCGCAAAGTTCAACCACACGCCTTCAAAGATTTTTTATTTTAGGTGTACAATTTTTACCCCGTGCCGCAAACGCGTCTTTTGCTTTTGAAGGAAAAAACGGTATTCAGCACAAGTGGAAAGATTAGCTCTCGCCTGGCTTAGCACAGAGGTTACGTTGGCTGGCAGAGGGCGCAGCAGCGAAAGGGCTAGGTAAGTGTACTAGGTAAGTGTACCAGATAAGTGTACTAGGTAAGTGTACTAGATAAGTGTACTAGGTAAGTGTACTAGGTAAATGTACTAGGTAAGTGTACCAGATAAGTGTACTAGGTAAGCGTACCAGATAAGTGTACTAGGCAACTGTACTAGGTAAGTGTACTAGGTTAGTTGCTAGATAAAATATAATCTGAACATTTTAATAAGATGCCATCCATATCCGTATATCCATAAAATAATTGTACTTAAAAAAAAGTAAACGTCCCTTTTCCACGCCATTAGGCATATAGGGCATATAGTTTTAGACCTATATTTTTAGACCAATCGGCCCACAATGGTTTTTGTGGTCAGTATCACTCCGGCCGCCTTCACGTGAGCGTCTAGCCGCTTTGATACGGCTACTCCCAATTGTACTATAACAACAGTTTAACATCCTGGCAATCATTTTCGGTGACCTTGTATAATTACAATTATTAATATTATACTCTGAGAACAGAAGACTCATTATCATTTAATGCTGTTAGTTAATCTCTTTAGAATGAAACTAGATCAAATAACATTACAAGCACTACATCTCAAACGATCCGCTACAAAAGGAAGAGGACGGCCGCGAAAGACATGGATCGACAACATTAAAGACACTCCATGCCTTCACGGCATGACAATAGCTAGTGGCAGTCAGCAGGCACTGGATCGCAAACTATTACATTCGAAGCCGATTAACGGCAAAAGTGGTTTATGATGATGATGATGATGTTGATGATGATGATGATGACAGTTAGTTGCATATCCTGTACAGGACGTTGCAGAACCAACCCCGGCGTTTGTTGTTGTTTTTGTTGTTTTTGGCTGTTGTGGTTTTTTAAGCAAATTGTACAGTCCAGTAGTATCAGATAACATCAGATGGAATATGCATTACTGAGATAAGAAACAGAAAAGCAAAGGTAAAAACTGCAGTTTATAAAATGAAGAACATCTTAGGTAATATATTGTCATTGAGAGTTATAAAAAATGCTTGCTTGCTACATACAACCAGTTTTAACATGTGGCTGTGAGTACTGGACAATCGGTAGGCAGGCCAAACAATCAATTGAGGACTCAGAGATTTGGTTTTACAGAAGAATGCTTCAAATATCTTGGACAGCCAAAAAGAGCAATCATGAGGTTTTGAAAATTGCTGGAACCCTAGGACAACTAATCGCAGACATCATAAAGAGACAGTCATCATTTTTCGGCCATGTATGAGAAAAGGAAAAGTGGAACATGTTGTTACCACTGGAAAGATCTGTTAAAAGAGTGACAGAGGAAGACAATGGGAGAAGATTCTTGACAGTCCTGTTGCATGGCATGGAGGTGTGTTATCACACGAACTAATACATGCTGCAGGAGATCACAAAGTGTGAAGATGCATGATCGCCCACGCCAGTCGGCAAGGCACCCGATGATGAGTAGTATGCCATTGTAACTTAACGGTCAGCTCTCGGTACCACTGTCCAAACCAACACAAGACAAACGGTCCGCAGCTGTGATCGAACCTGACACCCAGGCATTGCCAAGCCTAGGCCATAGACGCCTACTTCAATACAGTAGGTTGGTCATTTGTAAGGTTATTGAATAATGAACGTTTAAGACTTCCTTAATATACATTATTTTGTTTTCATACACTTTAAGAAACGAACATATTTTCTAGTTCGAATGTTTATACTGTCACAGAACAGTAACAACACCCCTGCCGCGATAGACTAGCCCACATCTTTGTAATGACCCTTATTAATAATTGTGGACTCGTCCTTGGGTGAATAGTTCTTCTTTTGCTATTGTGTTTGGATGTCGGGATTATAATTGTTTCTTTACTAAATCTAGTAGACTTGAGTCTATTGTCAAATAATTTATTGGGGTGAATTTTCTGAGACTATTATAGCCAAACTAACCACTTCACCGACTTGGGCACAGTGATACAAACTTGTTGCTAGACGTACTTGTTTCGAATACGTCATTGCGACTTAGGGTTCTGAATACGAGGACGTGTTTTTATCTCGTCTCTTGCATTTCTTCAAAATTGCATTAGAAAGTGTTCTGTTTAAAAAAAGAGGCTTTCTGACAGCATGGGTAAGTGATTCGTGCTTTCATATATCGCTGTGACTGTTTGACGGGTTAAATTATATAATGCGACTGCACCTAACGTTCCATCCATTCGCGATTCGGTTACAGTAGAAACTTCGGGAGCGACCAACAGTTTGAAAGGGAATATCTTCTTATATTATTTTAATACAGGTTCCATACATATTGGGATGCATGTAGATTTGTCTAATAATGTGAATTGACTCTGCGTTGGACCTGTTCTTTGTTGTATATCCGTTTAATTAGTGACAGAACTCCCCGATAATCAAAACCGGTTGATGGCAGACGGTTGACCTAAAGTGATCACGTATATGACATCATCTGTATTTTTGGTTGCTATGGCTAAACAAAAACAAACCTATCGTTACACGAAATGTTTCAGGGTGTTCCAACTCCTGTTCTACTCTATCTATTAATGTTGTCACTCTTCATTGTTATCATAGATTGAGTATGGACATCCTAGGAATTAAACAGACAGGCGGTTGACATTCGTTAACCTGAATACAAGATCTAGAACAGTAGGAAAGGGTGGAGGTCTCTGACTCGGTAAAACTCTCTCAGATTAGAGATCAAAAGGCTCCTGAAGGAGGATGTACGCCCTAAATGGTCTATACTTGCCCACAACTTACCTCTAAGCAAGTAAAATGAGGAAGCAGAGGTATGTGAGAAGGGGCTTGGGCTAGTAATTTTCAGGAATGCATTAAGTTCCTTCTGAAAAAAGTCACAGTAAGAGTCGCAGTCGGAATGAAGCACGCCACTACCACTACAAGTAACTTTCGAGCATCATACGTCTCAGTGCCCTACATGATATTTAAGAAATGAGAACCAGAGAACGGTTCACCTGCTCGGGAATATTTGGGGAAGTAATACCTAATTGTTCTTTCTTGTCAACTTGGAATCCATTTGGACCCGATCCAGATAGGACTGTGTTGCCTATGGAAAGGATTTCAGTGTTTCCAGATAAGTACACTCAGGGATACCACACGGCAGCCCATCAAACCACTGAGTGCCACCTTACGCTTCTACGACCCATTTGCGATGAGGAATAAGGAGATAGCAAGGCGGCATTCTTTTTTTTTTTTTTTCCTGAATCAACAAGGATTATTAAATTGCCATTTTTTTAAACCCTTCTTGTTCTTTGATTCCTGATTGCGGTAATTACAAAGGGTTCTTTATTCTAAATCCATTTGGTTAGTGTCAAATCTTGTCCAGTTCTAAATTACGAGTGATTAGGTTTGTCAGATAAATTGTTATCCAGTGTTGTTTATTGTGATGTGTTGTACGACTTTGGTGAAACAGACAGTTCAGAATGTACTCGAAATTGTGTTTCAGTTTCTAGGATTCAGCTTTTTGGTTAATTTTAATCAATTGTTACTGTAGTATACACCTGACGAGATACAGCGAAATATGCCAGGCAATAAATTGTGCAGTCTATTGTTTGTGTCTTCTTTGTTTAAATTCACATCAAGGAAACATTGCTTTGAATCAATCTTCCGCCTTAACAGTCATGAAAATAAAACAGAGTTGTCAGCTTGATGTGTATAGTGATCTCCAGTTTATCTTGCCTACCAGACAAAAACATAGCAAATATCATCAAGACAAAACATCTGTCACCATCCGATTGATATGTGGACGTTCCTCCTGTGGGTTCCGGGGCCCTATTATAGGGAAAACAAGAATAGACCCTCTGCCTACCCAAAAATATGTCGTGAGAGTCGACTAATTGGGAGCTTCCTTTGAACTCGGAGTGCATCTGCCTGAGACGCAAGAAACCAGCAGTCTGCATACAAATTAGTGAGATCTGTCAAACGGATACACATGCAACACTCAGGTTCTAGAACAAGACTTAAGTCAAGAAGTGGACGAACATTCAGAACTATCCACCGGTGTTCACAGTCGGTGAGCGCGAAGAAAAAAACACAAGAGATTTGTACAATAAATTACCAGTTGTTAAAGTTTTTTTTTTTTTTTAACCTTTCGATTTACTGAGATTTGTTTTAGAGGGTGGTGGATGGTCCAAGTTCTTCTCAACGGTGCTTAGGATTTTTCTTTGTACCCACAACTGTTTAATCACGTTTCATAATATATAGTGGTAGTGGCAAGTGTATTGAGGTCGGTCTTGCTATATATATGCTTAAGGGGGCGCCACCTAAACAAAGTTTGGAGACATCTCGATCCAAGCTGGGTTGCAACAATCGATTTGACAGTTCTCTTGCATCTTAGCCATTTATAGACAACTGCGTTTTAAATTTTTGTTTTAATTTTTGGTTTTGTTTGCACTATAAATTTATCTAGAGAAAGGCCCGGCTCTCTAGCGTATTTGGTTAAACCGGATTGCGCGGTGACCGGGTGACGAACTCCTTGTGGTCCGGTGTTCACTCCCGGAGGTAGGCAGAAAAACCACATTTCTCCCAGATATACGGTATTTACAATGGAATCGAGGCGGAAAGGTTGCGATATCCATAATACCGAGCCTAAGGGTTAACAACTCATGGCTTCTGGATACTAAAACATACAAACAAACATTTAGAGAAAGAAACGATATCCTACCCGGAGTTTGAGAAAAGGCTGGTCCTCCACTGTCACCGTGACACGCAGTCCCATTGGCAACACTATGTCCAATAGTTCCTACACAGAACATATTAGGTGTGATTACTTTGGGATGGGAAGTAATGCATTCACTGTGCCACATGAGGGGAACGCGGACTTTCTTGAGTATTACTGACTGATTCCCGGCTGTAGAAGAAACATTGGGGAAGGTTTCTAAAAGTAGACAAAGGACACATTTTAAAAACATACATTTCCTTTGAGTATAAATATTTGATCTCTGACAAAATCTATTAGCTAATGCCTATGTCATTTTTAATACTGTCCTAGTTAGAAATGCCTAGAGCGTGTTGTGAACAGCGCTGGTAACTTCTATTATATGTGTGGCGAAATGACATTTCTCTTACAAAATTGAAAAATAACTAGTGATTGAAAAAGGCAAACAGTTTGTATTTTAACTGCAGAATAGGAAATCAATTTAAGACGAGCGAGCCACACATAAACTGCAATTCTTGTGTAGCAAATCTTTAACTCTGGTTGACTGGTAAAAGTCAAGTTATGTTTTTTGCTTTCTAAATGATTTGGAGACAGCCCACTGAGCATCCCAACAACTGTTTCTTTTGTATGGTCCCTCCAACTGGGAAAGGCATACACAGACTAAGATATTGGCTTTGAAGTATCCTAACATCCTAAACTAAACGATTGATCTTGTAAAAGATCTGAATTTACCGAAGAACAAAGAGGAGCTTTTGGGTTCCAAATTGCAACAGTGGAATCTTCTGGCAGAAGATGTTAGAATTTCTGTGTATAGGAACCGACAGAAGCCGCCTAATTTATTTCGGTTACAAAAGGTGACCTCTTTGCGTGATCCGAACACTTCTGGGCTAATGGCAGCCCTAAAAAACCAATTAAAAATTGTAAGAGTTGAGGCTTTTCATTGATTCACCCAAGACGAGCCTTAAAGCTGTTTTGTTGAACAATGGTAATTATTACCGACAAAAAGTTATAAGGACATTGCTGCTTTGGAGACGAGGTGTCAATGCCAACCAAGCTCTTTATTGCCTGCTGATTACTCCTGGACTATGACAAAAGAAATCTCATCGAATGAGTACAAGACGCAAGCAAAGGGAGCTTGAACAGCCACTGAATAATGACGGAAAAGGTTTAAAGGTTTCTGCTCAAAATATTATATTTTAACTTTTAATATATATATATATTTTTTGGTTGTTTACATCATTTCAGGTTAAAATATATATTACTTGCGTATACAACAACAATGTTTATCAAGCTAAAACAGAGAGACTAACTGTTCACTCCAGTGATTTATAAAGCCTACATTATCTAAATTATGGTAACGTAAATTTTTAATTGAAAAAAAAAACAACACACACTAGAGAAATGGGGCAAATTGTGTATGATGTTTCAAATAAGCATGTCAATCTTCTTCTTCTTCTATTACTTCTTCTTCTTCTTCTTCTTCTTCTTCTTCTTCTTCTTCTTCTTCTTCTTCTTCTTCTTCTTCTTCTTCTTCTTCTTCTTCTTCTTCTTCTTCTTCTTCTTCTTCTTCTTCTTCTTCTTCTTCTTCTTCTTTTCTTCTTCTTCTTCTTTGTCATTCTTGATTATACTGAAAGCCGCCATCTTCCCCACCTTCTGTTCAGTCCTTTTAGTCCTGGTCGTATAACTTTTGTAAATATGTTTACCTACACCGGTTATTCAGCTGTTTTAATAGATTTTATTTTGGGGCAGTTTATTGTGTTTCTGAAGTGTCTGAGTAATGATTAGTATACAAGCCTGCCTGTTCCTGCGAACTTTCAATAACTGTAAAATGCCGGCATAACTTTGACAGACAGTCAAACATTTGTAAATAAATCCCTTGATTTAGATTCTTCTTCTTCTTCTTCGTTCACGGGCTGTGAATTCCGGCGGAATCGTCTGCTTGAACTTATGGCTTTTACCTAGACCTGAGTTTTGCGTGTACAACCGTTTTACTGACTTTTGCCGATCCCTGCCTCACAGGCAGATGTACTCCGACTTCGAGGGAATGATTTAGATTGTTTTCCTAATACAAACAAATGTATCTAAAAAACCGACAACTTACACTGGGCTGTATTGCCCCATCCTGCAATTACCATTTGTGTATTAACAGCAAGGATTCGTGAGTCAAGAGGCAGACAAGAGGGCTGCACATAAGCGTTGAACTTAATGCCTCGACCATTTCTGTCAGGTTTTACTTTGATCAGTCCAATGTCATAATCAAAGCTTCCAGCTGTCGATAACCATAGGTTTTGAGAGAATTAATGTATACTTAAGATATACTGATGAAATTACAATAGTAGTACTATATCACAAACACATTGTCATAAATGCAGCTAAGACTGGTCTCAGTTTCCAAGCTCTTTAATAATGCTATCAGATTGTTCATAAAATGCTACTCTCCTTCGTGTGCGCGTGTGTGTGTTTGTGCGTGTGTGTTTGTGTGTGTGTTTGTGTGTGTATTTGTGTGTTTGTATGTGTCTGTATGTGTTTGTGTGTGATCACTGTTTTTAATTTGTTAAAAAACAGGATCGCTCACAGCTAAAATTATGGCAGTTGATGAACATAATGATTCTAGATACAATCCAGCTATGTAAAATAAGTAGGATAATGGCGTTTATTTGTTAATTTGATCCAAAGATTACCGATAGCCTTAACTTTGGTCGTTCCATCGTCATCCTTTGATATGAGACACCTTCAAGCTGCGAATAAAAGTTTTTTAGCTGATAAAAAGAAAACACATTCCGCTGAGAAATAAAAACACAATAATTTGAGGGGTAGGAAATCTACATTTCATTTGTGACAGGCTGAGTTGCTTTTATTAATAAAGGATGACGCACGGTTGTAGACGCCGATGCGATCAACGTGATTCGTGAGCTGACCACCAGATGGTAGACAAGTTAAGCTCTAGTTCATTGTTTTTTTTTTTTCTAGTTTTTGCATGAGCTCCTTCTGAAACACTGAACATGGGTCGTTGGAGTGTTACTATGAATATATAAGTTGTCAGCTTTCTTGATCACATTTATTATATCATGCCAATCCTTAAATGTCATTAGTCCTAATGTACTGTATTTATCTTCTCGGTTAATCTTTAATTGGCAATGCCAGACACTGTTCCAAAAGGTCTCATTGATTAGGTTGGTGACTAAGGCGTTTCTTGTCAACAGTTGTTGATAGGTTTTTCTGAAACAATAGGAATGATCGGCTATTCTACGAATAAATCAGTACTATTGTATGGGGCGGAAAAATGGAGAACAACTAAGACAAATACTAATAAATTACAGACATTCATTAACTGGTGCTTGCGCAGAATAGGGGAATTAAATAGTATGATAGAATAACTAATGTAGAACTTTGGGAGAGAACCAAACAGGCTCCAGTGGACCAAGAAGTGAGGAAAAGACGCTGGCGTTGGATAGGACACACTGAGAAGACAGGAGAACAGCATAACTAGAATGTCTTTGCATTGGAACCCACAAGGGGCATAAGAATAAAGGAAGGCCAAAAAACACATCGAGAAGAGAGCTGGAGAATGAAACTAGAAAGATAAGGAGGACATGGGGAGAGCACTATGCAATGGCGAAAGATAGAACGACTTGCGTGTGCTTTTTGAGGGGGTTTGCTCCATTGGGGGATAGAAAGGCAGAAGAAGAAGAATGGCAGCGATTATTTGTTTTCCTGGTCTAAGACGACCTATGTGAAAGGCTCGTTTGACCCACAAAAAGGTCGTGACCCATAGATTGGGAACCTATGCTCTAGAATGTAGTATCCTCTTTACTGTCCTTGAGATAATGCACTTACGATGATACCGGCCTTGTAAGAAAACTGAGTCCACGTTATATTTAGTTTCATGTGTGTCGAGTTTCCACAGTGTATGATCGCCAACGGCAATTGAATACAGTTCTTTTATCCCGGAGCTGAAATGTACACACAGCCAATGGTTTCAGTCATATAGTTTTATGAGGAAGAGACCTTAACAATGTTTATATATATATATATATATATATATATATATATATATATATATATATATATATATATGTATATATATATATATACATGTGTGTGTATGCATGTATGTAATGTATATGTAATATATACATAGTTATAAATATGTATGTATATATATATATATGTATTTTGTAAATCTGTGGCACTGTTCATAGATTTAAAAAAAAAAAAGAGGTGCGAACGACTTAACGATACATGGAGAAGGAGATAGGAAAATAAAGTATAAAAATGATATGTGGTACCACAAAGCGGTAAAGCAACAGTCCGGGTATAATTACCATCATTTGTGAACGTCACAACAGCTGCAAAGATGTAGATACATATGCAAACATGACACCTTTAAATGTAACCGTGACAGTGTCTGTCAGAATAATCGCAGGCACGTTCGATTATACGCAGTTGAACATGAGTAAGTAAAGTAAAGTAAAGATCCCTTTCCACGCCTTTAGGCGTATCGGGCATATGGGAAGAGCGCCCATATTTTTACAGACCATCAGCAATCTGTGGGTAATGTGGTCAGCATTACGCCGGCTGGTCTTTACTTTCCCAGGACAGCCCATCCTGGTACCCATTTGAGGTTGAGTCGACCTGCGACGTCCCATACCACGACAAAAATTCACGCAGCCCGCAGTGGGTTTCGATCGCGGTACGTTGGATTACGAGTCGGACTCGCAACGCCTTAGCCAAGGACGCGTGTTGAACATGAGTACCCTAAGTTTAATCCTGCCCTCTGGATACTGACTCTCGCTGTCAGTACGAAGTCTATCATGTATATGTTCTGCTTTTAGTTGTCCATAAGGCATATATATACGTGGTGACTACTCACGTTAGTTTCTCCGGTAAAACAGCTTTAAAACAACACAGAATTAAAAAAAAAAAATAAATAAATAAAAAATAAATCAGCATCCTTATTTTTCCACACCTGCTGCATGCTGATGCAACCCTACACAGTAAACCACTTCTGCTGGATGAGGTATAATACAATGAATAACATAAATTCACTTCGCAATACTGATTTTCTCATTTGTGAAAATCGCTAACGTCCTTTTCCTAATACGACTTTCTTCCTGCATATCTTTATGGCGTTTGTGTTGTTCGGTCACATCGTTTGGCTCTCCTTTCTTCTCTAGCTCTATCAGTCTTTCTCTTCGTTACTGTAAAACCGCTTGCCGTTCAGCTAACTTAAATTACGTCTATTTCCTAGTCTTGTCAATCGCCAGTCTTAGCGAGTCACCACTGGCCACCTACAATGTCGTAAACCACTCTACGACTGCCGTTTATCATCTGTGTCATGCAACTTGTTGCCATTTGTTAAACGGTTACTCTGTTGCCACAATGTAATCATGTGAACTCATACAACTATGGAGGCCTGTTTACATTTCTCCTAGTAACTTCAGATTATTTCAATCCTGAATTTAATTGGAAATTCCATATTTGCTTACCGTCTGGAAAAGCTAAATGTAATCTTACAGTTTATTGCAATCAACTTAAAAATTAGGTAACTATTAAGTTTATGTAAACTATTTCAATGCAGGGGACATCTCCTAGTTGGCTGAGACTGTTTAATTACGCCAGGGACATTCTTTCGTTGCAGACAATCGGCTAAAACAGTTTGACAGTTTCGCTGAAAAAATTACCTAGACAGCCAGGCAATAATGGCATACCTGTGGCTTAAAAAATACCTAGCGAAATTAAACAGCAAAGCAAGTGGCTGGTGATTGCATACTTCGTAGCTAGTTAATAGGGGCGTGTTCAGCTCTCTCTGCATTACTCTTTTCCATGAAAGCTTCAGCCAGAGCACGGGCACATGCACCCACAGCTACATGTAGTCTGCACCCAGCTCTGTCACATAACTCCACCTTGATATTTACATGTTTTCTTTAAAAAAAAAAAAAACACAATAAAAACTTGTCAACAAAATGCGATTCATGTCTACTTACTCCAAACAGTGAGCCGCGGTGATAACCCAGAATTCACTGATAATAGAGCCTCCACACAAATGCACATTATCATATAATATATTTGCTATCCAGGGGAATTCCCCATAAGTAGCAAAACCACCACCTAGTATCTTATCCATATCTGAGTCATCATCGATGTCGTCAGTAGAGTTGTCACCTTTGACTTCACGTCTAAGCTCGCCATTAACAACATAGCGACGACCACACACAGGACCTCCATTGTCTAGGAAGTGTGAATACAAGTATATCTTAACAATGTCTAAACAAACATTTAAAAAAAAAGTGTATAGTTTATACTATCTTATGTAATAAATCGGTCTCATTAAATGCCAGAAAGAGGGTGTTTAAATGTTACATAGAACTTGTTTTGCTAAATGGCAGCGAATTTTGGAATGTCACTGAACAAATTAGGAAGAATTTGGAAGCAACAGACATTTGGTTTCTGAGTCGAATGTTACGAAACCTTGGACGGCTAGAGTAACAACGATTGCTTGAAAAAGGCTAATAAAAGTAGATCTATATATACAACAATAGGGAAAAGACAAACCCTGTTCTTTGGCCACATAAAAAGAAGAGAGATATTGGAGAACATCGGGACAACTGGAAAGATCAGTATGAAAAGAGGTAGAGGCAAACCATGAGAGATGATGCTGGATGGGTTAAAACGATGGCATGGAGGGATATCATCAAGAGTGCTGACACAGTCAACCAGGCATCGTGATCTGTGGAGTCGCATGAGCGCCTACGCCAGTTGGCAGGGCATATGATGATGATGATGATTATGATGATGATGATAGTTCATAAAATTATTTAAACTCTTTCAGTGTCAAAGAAGTCACAGTACTATCATTAGTTATTCTGTATGTGGTAAATATGTTACACTCGTTCTGTTTAGTTGATAACCCATTTAACCTTTAGTGTTGATTTATGTCAAATCTCTTTTTCCCAATTCACCAAAATGTGCACATGTTAGCCTAATCATGCAATGCTGTACACTAAACAGTGTTTAAGTAAACAACCACAACATAAGGAGAACACCACAGGGAAGCATGAATAGCAGGAGTCCACTGATAATCAGTAAAAAAAAAATACCTCGTCGACGATTGTTTTTGGTCCATAATTTCCTATACAGTCTGGGAAAGAGAGCCGACCTGGGTCATAACGCTAGGCCTCGATCTTCCCCTACAGTTCTTCATGCTTTCTGACTACGTCAAGACGATGTGGTGACTTTACAACAGATGTGGTGATACTGGTGTTATATCGTCGCTGCTGTAGCAAATTAAATCAGTCGACTACCATAGGACAAGCTTGACAAACTTACAGTTGGTTCATGGACAGGTGTTAGACTTTGGCATTTAGACTTTGGCATTTGTCAGAGAGACACCTGTAGACATTATCGGAGTCGTTAGCTATTAGGGGAATAGAAGCTTCTTTTCATTTACGACTCTGACCAGTCTACCGAGGCCCATCTCCCACGATATTTCGTTTGCGTCCAGAGCCAGTTCGAAACCCTTTCAGATACTTCGCCAAGTTGTTTTATTGACCGTTTACGCTAGTTGCCTCTCAAGCCCAGATGCTTCAGCACATTCTATGTGAAAGTGGAGATAAGACCTCTTGCGCCTACCTCGACGGTGAAGATTTTAGCTTGGTCATCAGACGGGCCACGAGTTTACTCTATTTTTCGAGCTTTTATAAGTCATTTTCTTCCATCTGCTGCCCGTACGGCACGGTCAGCTTTATCAAGACGAGCTAGTTTTCTGCAAAGTGCGGAACAATGTCTGGTCTTAGGCCGGTCTTCCGGATGGACTATGGGCACTTTTCAAAACCAGGCAGGTCGACAGCCAGTAACCAGTCACTCGCACAGACAAGTATTGATGGAGCGTATGCGACCTTGTTGATTTTAATTTTAGCAATCTGTCCACCCTTGATTAAATGTATGGGGGAGGGGGGGGGGGGGGGGGGGGGGGTAGGGTGTGGGGCAGTAGGACTGGAATTTGCGTTAGCTCTCACCCTGACTTGGTCCACAACCTCCGGTAGCTCTTTGAGGACTTTGCTGTGGTGTCAAGTATACCCTCCCTGGACTAAGGCTTTTTAGCATGCAGACAATGACGGTGGTGACAATGATGATGATGAGGATGATGATGATGAGGATGTCGATGATGATGATGATGAAGATGATGATGGCGATGATAATGATGACGACGACGACGATGATGATGATGAAGATGATGATGTCGATGATGATGATGACGACGACGACGATGATGATGATGAAGATGATGATGATGATGAGGATGATGATGATGATGGCGATGATGATGATGACGATGATGATGATGATGATGATGATGATAAAGATGATGATGATGACGATAATTATGATGATGATTTACTAATGTGCTTACTAAAATAGTCATTTATTTGTAGCACATCATTCATCTCCGTCTGATCGAGGTATCTGTTTATCGAACTTCTTCCTGCTTTTGATTTCCCTTCCTGTAATTTAAATTAAATTTTAAAAAATCCATAGTAAAAAAAAAACGGCATAGACTTTATTATAGACGATATGAATGTTTTGCCTACAATTTTGTTGATGAAGCTCTACTGCACGGTGGGGGAGAAGATTATTTACATTAAAAATGTTGTGCTTACCATACTTTTTCACTTGTTCAGCGACACTGCTATCCTTTTCTAAGAATTGACATGCCTTCTCTGGTTAATTATGTATCAGATAATCTTCATTTAAAAACAATTAATTAAATACGTGGGATGTTATGATCATTTTAGTATGACATGTTAGATTTCACAACAATTGAAAATCGGGAAAACAGCTGATCGAAACAGATGCATGATCTGATTGAAATATTTTGTTCAATGTTTATACCCGAAACTAAATTATCTCCAATAGGTTTGTCACTTAGATATCACTCATAAAAGCAAAGATTAATCAAAGAATGAGCAGTACGGACAGGTATAGATCTTTTCCCTTATTATTTAAAACAAAATAAAAATCATCTAAAAATGATATCACTTCTAAAAACAATTTTTAAAATCCTAAAGTGACGTAAAAGCCACGCGGAAGGTCGCTAACGAATGGATGTCTTGTGGTTAATTCAAAATTTTCAAAAACTTGTTCATGAAAGTTCGTTTTTCCCACAAACGGAGCAAAATTATTGTATCTCTTTGATACACCAGTATACTGGCGAATGTCATATATGGATAACTTTATAAGCTAGTTAACTGGCGACACGTCTTCAAAGAATTAATGCATGTTTCCTTATTGCAATGCTTGTTAGTGATTCCCTGTTGGTGTCGCCTCTGGATCAGCAGTATACATATGAGATTTTTGTTAGTCCTAAAACTAGTCGATTAATTATATCAAATTTCGTCCTTTTTAGGACGAAATTTTTTGTCATTAGAAGCCCTACTCTGGCTTTTGCCAGGGGCCGCAATATAGGCAGGCCATATATATGGCCAAATGTCTGAACGCGGTTTCTGGGACCTCTCCACGGCGATCCTCATCCACATGGTGGCACTTTGTGTCATCGGGTGTTTATCGCTTGTGTGATGTCCTGGTGGGGTAGAAATTCAGTTCAGTTCAGTCCTAAAACTGTTGATACCAGCTGTTGTCAGTCATTTGATCTGCTTCATTGAGAAACATAAGATCAACTTATTTGGCCATTAGGCTAGAATGCAGCAAGATCAAATACCTTCACATGCACTTCATCTCAGAAGAGCAAGAGGACGCTGGCGAAAATATGGATCGATAACAGCAAAGACATTGTATGCCTTGACTGCATAGTTTATGATGATGATGATGTCCATTAATTTTTCTAAATTCTTTACATTTCTTGTCTTAGACCTGTTGATACCAGCTGTTGTGTAATCATTCCCCGATTTGTTCGCCTTGTTTATCCCAGTACTGCTGATACCTACGGTTGTCTAGTAATTTGCCTTTATGCTTTGACTTGCTTGCCTCAGAACTGTTGACATCTAGTATCGTCTAGTCATTTAAAAAAAAAAACAACAACTTTGCACTGGTTTTGAAGGCGCACCCAAAAAGGGCCCTTTTCCACGCCATTAGGCGTATAGGGCATATAGGGCTAGACCTATATTTTTATAGATAAATTGGCACGAGATGGGTGATGTGGACAGCCTCGCGCCAGCCGATGAAGGCGCATAGGGCTAGAGAATTAATTGGCTAGAGAAAGCGAGTCGTTTAGCGCCATAAAGAGAGCGACGTTCTGTAGAGGACGTGCTGATCGATGACTACAGCATTGGTTGTAGCTCATTTCCGTATAACAGGTCAAACAAACTTACCGGCCTGCAGTCACCACAGTGATCACATCCAAGGTAAATAATTAACACTGAAAACATAATTCGAACAGTAACCGCCATGTTGAAGTGACTACACTATAAGAGTTTTAATCTCTTATAGTAAACATGGGGACTAAGGTTTTGATTGGATTTGATCGTCTGTGTATTTAATCAGCAAGACCATATAGGTTATATCCCTCATTCCGCAGAAAGTACACACGTTTTATTATCTACATTTTAGTGTCCTAAATACATTAACACATATCGATTTTCAAATTGCACAGTTCACAATTCAGACCCTAACAGAATCTTTATAAATTAGTGATAATTCGAATCTGCAGCCTGCAAATGATGACTGACCATATGCATATGAATAATAGTATTTTAAGAGGTGATCATCATTTGCGATGCTGATATATTTATTTGATTATTGAATCGTTGTCTTACTCGATGTTTGATCAAGAAAAAGGTCATCTTCCCTATTGCTTATGCTTTGCGATTAGGTAGGTAATTGTACCCCACCAGGACATTACACAATTGTTAAACACCCGATGACACAAAGTGGCACCATGCGGATGAGGATCACCCGTGGAGAGTTCCCAGAAACCCCTTTCAGCTGTTAGGCTGTATCTATGGCTAGCAATATTCGGTGAACCGACAGAAGCCAGGGCGGGACTTCAAACAACAAAAAATTACATCCCACGTGAGGACGACTGAAAAAAAAGATAAATATTGATTGCGATCAAGTAAGTAAGAAGTAACTTACACCCTACTAGGAAATCACGCATGCGATTTCCACACGATGACACAAAGTGCCACCATGGGGATGAGGATCACCCGTGGCGAGGTCCCGGAAACTGCGTTTAGCCATAGACCATATTGATGGCCGGGCTATATTACGGCCCCTAACAAAAGCCTGAGCGGGGATTCAGAATGAAGACAAACTGTGCATCCCACAACGGAATGAAGGATATGTTTAACGTATTGTTTGCGATCAAGACATTTAGGTGGTTA